TCATTTCACAAAATGTATTCTGAGCAGCATGAAAACTAGAATTGTCAAAACTAAAGTTCTAAACCTTCTTCTGTCTCTCCAACAGGGATCTTGTCACAAGTTAAATTCAAATTTTCTGTAGAACAGTAAATAATCAAAACTGAAATAGGTAACAAGCTAAAGGGGGAAAAAAAACACAGGCTCAAGACAATGCAGCCAATCACACACAAAGCCCATACATTCTACAAGAAATAATTTTTGCCACTGATTTGCCCAGCAACCACATAACTCTTCTAAACACAAAAATGTTGAGAATTTTCCTTGCCCAGAAGTGGTTTTTGAAAAGGATAAATGCATCTTAACATACATAATTAAGTTTGCAACAAACCACAAAAAACGAAGGGGAAGAAGCCTGAAAAAAAGAAAAAGCATATATATGTGCCATAATAATCTGACCCAAAGCCACTGAAACATTTGGAGTTGAACCCTTTTGAAACTCTTAAAATGCTCTGCAGTCTGCTAAAAAGTTAAAGGTTCTCCTTTTTTTCCCACTCAACATTGACCTTATTCTGTCATCAACTTGACATTCTATCTCACCTTATGGTGTTAACTGCAAGGATGCTCAGGAAATAAGAAATATGTAAGACCAGGGGACCATGGCTTTTCACTCTGGCTACAACTACGGGCTTTCTGGGTGCTCCTGCAGATACTCCACATGCTGCAGAAGACTGCCCCTGCATAACAAGCAAGGTTACACTCCAATGTCAACAAAACTCCTTAGATCAATGCAAAGATCAATCAGACGAATTTCCAGATTTCTTACAATGCACAGGGCCAAGTTTCTCAAAGGTGAATCAAGTTCTGTTCCATTCATCCCTACCACCAAACAAAGCAGCACAAAAGAAAGCTTAGTAGCATACATTAGAAGGACAGGAAGAAATAGGTATAAGTGCCGATGTAACTGACATATGCAGGAATCTCTGGAGAACAGACTCAGCTCAATTATAACTGCAATGCCACTAGGGATTTTTAATTATTAAAAAGTAAACCATATGCCAGAGTAATATAAGACAACTCAGTAATCAAGAATGGCAGGAAACGGTAGTTCTTAATCTGCTTCTACTCTACTTTTTAATACTCTGAAGACATTTTCTTAGTTGAAAAAGCTGTATGTAAAATAACAATAAATTGGAGGAAATGATGCAGCTAAACATGCCCCAGTAACAAAATTCCTGTGTTTACTGATTTGCTTAGGAGTCTGAAAAACAATTTTGTTCCTTAGTTGTGCTATGTATGTATGCATGTGTGTGTGTGTATATATAAAATATATATATATGATTATCCTTTTTTGTTTATGGTTGAAGAAAACAAGGTCTAAAGAAGTGGCTTGTCAAAATAAGTCAGTAACAAAGTTGGTATTAGTTTTTCATCTAATATATATATGTGTGTATATATAAAATATATGTTTAAATTATATTTATATATTTATATATAATATATATAAAATATTTAAATATATATAAATATATAATATATAATATATATTTAAATATACATATATAAAATATATATTTAAATTATATTTATATATTTAAAATATATATAAATATATATACATATATATAAAATATATACACACACACACACACACATATATATTAGATGAAAAACTAATACCAACTTTGTTACTGACTTATTTTGACAAGTCACTTCTTTAGACCTTGGTTTCTTCAACCATAAACAAAAAAGGATAATCATATTTGCCATTAGATAATCAAAATAGAAATCCCTATGAGAAATGAGGAACCATTATTTGTAATGATACCAATTCTCTCTGGCTTGATGGTTCTTGCAGAAAGCACCCTGAGAAAAAAGCACCCAGAGCTAGGTGCATGCCCAGGACTCCAAGAGACTAATGTGGCCAATGATGGTGATAGGGGGTGAAAGTAAATCTGCCTTTCCCAAAGAAAGCCCATTAGATATACTGAAATATATACTGATTCAGGCTGCCCATGTGTATAAAGCTTTTCACGTTCATAATCTTGGACATTTCAAACATGGAAAAACTTCAGAAGATTACAGTGTTCTACTATGAAAGCCAATGTAGATTCAAAAGGAACCACAAAACTGAGTCTGTAAATATTCATGCTAAATCAAAAACCAAAATAACAACCTGGCCTAACAAAATTGAACATAAAGATCTACAACCACATCAGAAGTAGTGACAGTTTATGAATGTGTATTTCCTAATTAAAAAAAAAAAATTCTAAACAAAAACAGCAGACATCTACATGTTAGGAAACTAGATACTAAATATTATATTCTGTATGGGTGCTAAATTATATGGAATTCAAATTATAATATCATAAGTTTAGAATTAGAAAAACCTGACTTTTAAAAAGAAGAACACAAATTAGCCGTATCACAAAAGGTTCCAAGTGGCACGTATCACAAAATTTTCCAAATGATGAATACTGTGGCTTCTATATTCCTAAGGTTTCATAAATCGGTCTTTTCCTTGGTATAGCTATGAGCACCATTCAGGCCAAGTCCTCATTCTCACTCCTCTACAACGTGCTAAAATCCCTTCCCACCATTCTCTTCACCTCTGCTCTCCATCCCACTCAACCTACATATTGCTGCTAAATTAATCCCTCTAAAGTACAGATCTAGTATCATTTACCTGCTTTAAAAAAAGAAGCTTTAATACTTTTCTCCTAACTAGCTGCAGTCTTTCCCTAGCATTCAAGACGCCAAATATAGTTTCAAGCTCCTTCTTCACCCTATAGCCAAACCACACTACACTGTCTGCTGTGTTTCCAAACACACAGCCTGTGTTTCCCATCGTGAGTTTGCCTTGCTGTCTTCACCTATTTTTCCAAAGGCCCATCTCATTTGCAGAAACTCCCTATTGTTTTTCCAGATGCCCTGAAGAAGCTGCACTTTCTTCCTCTTCAGAAATGTCAAGACAATCATGTTAACATCTTTAACATCTCGGTTTGCGGGTTGGTATGTGGCGTTCTTTTCCCTGGCAGGTTGTCTGACAGCGGCACCTGTGTCCTACTTAGTGCTGTCTTTCTTGAAGTCTGCCTTATAACTGGGAACTCACACTCTTCTGATAAATAAATATCTAAGGAACCGACTGAAGCAGAAGAAATCACAATATTAAGATACCAGTTTATAGAAATATTATCCATCTAAAGGTTACACAAAGCATCACATTCACAACAAGCTATGCTTCCATTTACCACTTCAGCTCTTTGCAACCTTTCAAGTATGAAAGAAATTGGACCTCACATTCAGGACGCAATCTGCATCAAATTTTTATCTAGCTAAACTGTTTAAGAAATAAGATTTCTGAGAAGATTGTGCATGGAAGGAAAAGAAATGCTTCACATCAGCTTACAGGTTGCCATAAACCTGGATGACCTGGTCTTAAAGCAAAATTCTAGGATGGTAAACTGGTAAATAAGTACATACAGGCACTACGAAGGCAGACAACACTGGCAAGGATACTGGGAGGCAGAAGCCGTGGGGTCAACATGCATGACCCGGCTCCAGCTTCCTTAACTTGCCTAACCCCAGTTCCCTCACTCATAAAACCGGGCTCGTGGGCTGGATGAACTCCAAGATCCAGTTCTAACATCTAGAACTCCAGAAGCATAACACATGTCTGCATTTTATTATTTCTCATGGAAAGTGGGTAAAAAATAACTTCCTGCTTATTTAATCTCTCATTTATTTTAAAAAAAAACCAAAAAACCACACACTTCTTCAGCCTAAAAAACCCCATAGATTTCAGGGTTATTTTCAAAGGAGTCTCAAAATGAAAACAAAACAAAAATTAAATACCCACCAACAAAAACAATCCCTGAGGACTAATAAAATAAATATAAGAAAAAACCAAAAATATTACCCCACCAAATCTCACTACAAATAACTGTTAAATAACACTTTAAAAATAAATGCTCTTGGCCGGGCGCGGTGGCTCAAGCCTGTAATCCCAGCACTTTGGGAGGCCGAGACGGGCGGATCACGAGGTCAGGAGATCGAGACCATCCTGGCTAACACAGTGAAACCCCGTCTCTACTAAAAAAATACAAAAAACTAGCCGGGTGAGGTGGCGGGCGCCTGTAGTCCCAGCTACTCGGGAGGCTGAGGCAGGAGAATGGCGTAAACCCGGGAGGCAGAGCTTGCAGTGAGCCGAGATCCGGCCACTGCGCTCCAGCCTGGGCGACAGAGCAAGACTCTGTCTCAAAAAAATAAAAAATAAAAAATAAATAAAAATAAATGCTCCGTTAGAAATTTAAGATGCCAAATAGAGTCATAAAGCACAGTGAGGTAAACAGTAGGATTAAGTGGTAAAATATTTTTCTCAAGTTGTTTCTGGACCTTTCATGTAACGAAATTAATTTAGATTGAAGCTGCAGAAATATGAAAAGCAAAAATTTCAGAATTCCTTGGATAATGAGAAACCATGAATAGAATATTAGGAGCACATATATACCACTTAGTTAGCCTAACTTAAACCCCCCAACAGAGATTGTACAGTGCTTGGGATTTTAAACAGGATTCCCACCCTTGCTCCACCAACTTTATAACTTGATTAACATGTGTGAAGTCTTTCAGAATAACTTCTGAGGGGTCTTTTTTTTTTTTTTTTTTCTTTTGCCTTAAAGCCACCAGACAGGCAGCTTTTGAGTGCAAACCATCACTTTAGGCCTTACCAGCTTCCAGTTAAAACTTCTGGGTTCACCATGGTGCTGATGGCTTAAAGGTACCAGTAACTAGGGGTTACCATAGCTCAGTTGGAACAAAAGTATACTGTGCAGCGCTTATGAGAGTTCTGAAAAGTGTTTTCTTAAAATGCTGGAGGGAAAGGGGATATTTTCTGATTGAAATAAAACTCTATCTCCCTTTCTTTCTAAAATCCCAAATCAAAATTACCAACTTCATGAAAAACAAGGTGTAGCCTCCTCCTGACACTGTCACTAACTCTGGATTTGGCTCATCTGTCTTACCTTCCGATGCTTTGATCACATATCCCCCCTTGTCTTCACCAGGAGGCACATCGAGCAACTGCATAATTCTGTCCAGCAGCCCATGAATGATCTCAAACCCAGGATTCTTGTTGTAATAAACAGCACAGAGATGCCGGTAGTTTTTTGCGCCTACATCTAGGAAGATAAAGGAACTGGTCACAAGGCTGTATTAACCATTGCTTCAGAAACTGATTTACCCCAATACAAACTGAGAAAAAGTCGACAAAAAAGAAAACCAAATATTACACATTCAGAGAAGGATTTAACCTCAGAAATGCAAAATAAGATAAAATAGTCTTTTTTCAGCTTATCAAATTCCCTAAGGTATTTTATTTGGGGGAAAGAGTGAAAACCCTCAATGCTGACCAGGGAAAATAAGACTTCACTGATTGGTAAAATTCTTTGCAAACAATTTAGCAATATATCAGAGCCCTAAAGCTTCATACTCTCTTAATCATAATACTAATACTACTCAAAGGAAATAGTCCTACATACAAAAAGGCTTTAGGTAGAAAGACATTTAGTACATTATTTCCAATAGTAAAATTATAAACAACCTAAATTAGGGATGGCTACATAAAGTACAGTCGATCACTCATCAGGATACTCAGTGGCTATTAGAAAGCATCTTTACGATGGTTTATCATAACATAGCAACAGCAAATAGTAAATGAAAATTTAAGAGAGACCACAAGGTTCAAAAAGAGGCAAAACTAAATTACATTGTTTAAAGAACAAACATAGGTTGGAAAACTATGAAGCAAGTAAGGGAATGACTATGACCAAAGTTAGGCTAACAATTACCCTAGGTTAAAAAGAAGAATCTGTGATGGGAAGGGGTCATATAAGAAGCTTAGGATACTGGCAACGTGCCATTCTTAATGCAGCTGATGGTTACACTAGCGTGTGCTTCGTAATCTCTTAAAAACTACTTACATTGAATACATTCTTCACGAAGCATTAAAAGAAAGCAGAATGCTAAAGTTTATGAAGCTATGCCACAACATGGGTGAATCTTGAGGACATTATGCTAAATTAAATAAGCCACTCACAGTAGGACAAATACTGCATGATTCCACTAATACGAAGTATCTAAGTCATGAAACTCGGAGAAACAGAAAGTAGAACGGTAGCTGCCAGGGGTTGGAGGGAAAGGGAATGGGGAATTGACATTGAATGAGTATAAAAGTTTAGCCATGCAAGATGAAAAGTTCTAGAGACCCACTATATGCACAATGTGCATATAGTTAACACTACTGCAACTGTGCACCTCTAAAAGTTTACTAAGAGGGTAGCTCTCATAGGTTTTTTTACCACAACAATAATAATAATTTTTAAAAGTATATGAAGAATAGGGCCAGGCAAAACAGCTCATGCCTGTAATCCCAGCACTTTGGAAGGCCAGGGCAAGAGTTTGAGACCAACCTGGGCAACACAGCAATACCCCATCTCTACAAAAATAATAATAATTTTAAAAAGATGAAAAACAGAATCACAACTACATAAATATAGCCACAAGCCAAAAAACCCCATGAACAGAGAAAAAGGCTGAAAAGAAATATACCTAAATGTTAACATAAGTTATGTTTGGGTAAGGGTAATTTTTTCCAACTTTTATTTATTTCCCAATTTTTCCATGATTAGTATATGTAACTCTACTTTGAAAATTAAGACAAACTTACAAACTCAATATTTCATTTTGTTTCACTTTATTTTTTGAGATAGGGTCTCGTTCTGTTGCTCATCCTGGTGCAATCACAAATAATATGGAAGGGCACCGCAGCCTCAACTTCCTGGGCTCAAGCAATCCTCCCACCTTAGCCTCCAGGGGAGCTGGGACCCTAGGCACGCGCCACCACACTCAGCTAATTTTTAAATTTTTTGCAGAGACAAAGTCTCACTCTGTTGCCCAGGCTGGTCTCAAACTCTGGGCTCAAGTGATCCTCCCGCCTTAGCCTCCCAAAGTGCTGGAATTATAGGTGTGAGCCACTGTGCCCAGCTAAAGTCAATATTTAAAAAAAGAATTCCAACAGTCCAAATGAACACTGATGGATAAACAAATTGGTACATCTATACACTACTACTCAGCAATAAAAAGGAAAAAACTGTAGATAGACGACAACTTGGATGACTCTCAAAGGCATTATGCTGAAAGAAACAAGGCTCTCAAAAGGCTACAGACAGTGTGAGTCCATTTATATGACATTCTGGAAAAGGCCAAACTATGGGAACACAGAACAGATAGTAGTTGTCTGGGGTTAGGTATGGGGAAAACAATGTGACTAAAATAAGGGGTTTTTAGGGTGATAGAACTTTTTGACCTTGTAGTGATAGTTATAATCATCTAAACCTGTAATAAAACTCATTTTTAAAAAGAAGTACCTAGTATAGAGAGGAAGACTGAAAGTCAGCAGTCATCATTTAACTTTGTAACACTGTGGCCCTTCAATAAATTCTGGAGACCACTGCTCTAACATAAATGAATGCTGGCCTCATTCTGCTTTTCATATTAAAAAGAGAAAGAACAAACTAATATCTGAGGGAATAAACTGAAAATAGAAAGCTGCTTCATGTTAGCAGATATTGAGCAAAACTACTTCCACGGATTTACTCCCATAGGTAAAAGCTACTAGCAATGGTTGACATAAAATACAGAATGCCTTTTATCTTCTAGATATCCAATTAAAACATGAACAGTTTAAGACACTGTACTCTAATATTAAAATAATATAAGAGTAAGCACATAAATGGAGTAAAAGGAAAACTAACATTAACTGTTAATCTGTGGTATCGATTATCTGGCACATGCTAGGTATTACCTATCTGTCAATTTATCTATAACCTTATTTAATTCTCAAGACAACCATGCAAGATAAATATTATTATTCCTATAAAACAGATGGAGAAACAAAGCTCAGAACGATTAAGTAACTTGCCCAAAGTCAAACTAATTGGCTGGAGCTAATACAATTAATTATATTGCTAATAAGTTACAAAACCAGGATTTGACCAGAATTGACTGACTCTAAAACCCATGCTCTTTACACTATAGGGTTTACCCAAAAAGATTTAAATGAAAACAAACAATATAACGGCAAACTTATATATGGCTATATATCCACTTAATATGGTCATGGATATGCATTGCTAAAATTTTTTTTATACGATAAACAGATGTTTTAATTTTCAAAAGTTTTTAAAATACTTAAGACTTCCATTTAAGCAATGGAAATAAATAATTTTTAAGGGTCAGTGAAGTTTCTAGCCATGAACAGTATTGTTACTTATGGAAAGTATATTCTGAGTTGAACTTCAGACTGAACAGATACAAAGAAATAACTGCCCTTGCCATTTAACATTTCTTAGTACACACTATATTCAAGGCGCTCTATTCTAGATATTCTTTGATGATGAAGGTCAAAGCCAGTACAAGGCATCTACAACCTAAACTCTCAGTAATGCTTTGTGTTTTTGAGACAGGCTCTCACTCCAGTAGCCCAGGCTGGAGTGCAGCAGCATGATCTTGGCTCATTGCAGCCTTGACTTCCCAGGCTCAGGTGATCCTCCCAACTCAGCCTCCTAAGCAGCTGGGAGTACAAGCACATATCACCATGCCCACTGATTTTTTTTTATTATTATTAGTAGTAGTCAAGACAGGGTTTTACCATGTTGCCCAGGCTGGTCTCGAACTCCTGGGCTCAGGCAATTTGCCTGCCTCAGCCTCCCAAAGTGCTAAGATTATGGACATGGGCCACCACGCCAGACCTCAATAATTATTTTCTGAGTAGATCCCTAAAGCCTAGAAAAGAAGATAAGCACACACAAATAGCTATTAAACAGGAGCTAGGACAGGCCAGGAGCAGACAGCAGGCCATATCTATGCCAGCTGAGGTAAGCGAGTAGCATACCACTGTCACCTCCATCATTTCCATTTTTAAAGATAAAGAAATTTGGTATCCAAAAGCTGTAAGTCAACATTAAAATCAGACAGGCACAAAACCTCACTAAACCAACCACATGGATAAACTAAAATGAAAAGCCTGATTCCACTGTAGGAATACAAACTTTCTCTCTCTCTGTCTCTCCCTTTCTTTCTTTCTTTCTCTCTCTCTCTCTGTCTCTCTGAAGGGAAAAAATGAACTGAAACAGAACTAAATTATCCCTTTCATACTACTGACTTGCTTCTGGGTATTTTTGCCATGTGGTACCCATTTATTGGTGTGGATGTCACATGCTTTCACTTTAACACACAGGCACCTATTGAAACAACTTTGTAACTCCGTTTTTGCTGTGAGAGAATAGCCCAACAGTAACACCACCATTAAGAGACAGCTTAGCAACATAAACTGGAAGTTTTATTTTGATAATCTTTGCCAAATTCCAAGTAATTTTTTCCTTATCTCCAAATTATGTAAAACTGTTATATTTCTGATATGAGCAGCAACATCTGGATTAAAAATTTAGAATTTTAAAAAACAAATTAAGTAAACTTGTGATGAGAATAATAAAATCACAATTAAAAAATTATAGAATTTAGGCCAGGCACAGTGGCTCAGGCCTGTAATCCCAGCACTTTAGAAGGCCGAGGCAGAAGGATCACTTGAGCCCAGGAGTTTCAGACCAGCCTGGGCAACAAAGTAAGACTCCATCTCTAAAAAAAAAAAAAAAAAATTTAAAGATTAGCCAGGCACAGTGGTGGTGTCATGTGCCTGTAGTCCCAGCTCCTTGGGAGGCTGAAGTGAAGGATCCCTTGAGCACAGGAGTTCAAGACTGCAGTGAGCTATGATCATGCCTGGGTGACAGAGTGAGACCCCTGCCTCAAAACAAAAACAAAAACAAAAGAGAACTTAAAAAAATTATACTCTATTTCATTCAAGAACGGTTTCAGGATGTTTATAGCACACACATACAGTAACGAACTGTATATTTTTAGATTTAATTTTGCAATATTTTTAAGAAAGGCCTGACTTCTAGGGCTTTGTATTAAGCCCACCGTAATAATTAGATTAACCACATTATTAAGGCGCCCCATCCCAACTCCATATGGATTGGCTGGCTTTTTACATTTCCTAAGGGTTACTGCTCTCTCTGGACTTACTTCCACATATCTTGCTAAGATACTCCCTCTACTGTAG